ATGAGTCTGTATAACACAGTGTATAACAGTACTAACCTACTATGAGTCTGTATAACACAGTGTATAATAGTAATAACCAACTATGAGTCTGTATAACACAGTGTATAACAGTAATAGCTAACTGTGAGTCTGTATAACAGTAATAGCCAACTGTGATTCTGTATAACAGTAATAACCAACTGTGAGTCTGTATAACACAGTATATAACAATAATAGCCAGCTGTGACTCTGTATATCACAGTGTATAACGATAATAGCCAACTGTGACTCTGTATAACAGTAATAGCTAGCTGTGACTCTGTATATCACAGTGTATAACAGTAATAACCTACTGTGAGTCTGTACAACACAGTGTATAAAATAATAGCCAACTGTGACTCTGTATAACACAGTGTATAACAATAATAGCCAACTGTGACTTTGTATAACAGTATAGCTAGCTGTGAGTCTGTACAACACAGTGTATAACAATAATAGCCAACTGTGACTTTGTATAACAGTAATAGCTAGCTGTGAGTCTGTACAACACAGTGTATAACAATAATAGCCAACTGTGAGTCTGTATAACAGTAATAGCCAGCTGTGATTCTGTATATTACAGTGTATAACAGTAAGAGCCAGCTGGGAGTCATTGTCTTTTTATTGCAGGTTAAATAAATATATATATATATATATATATGCATAGTTTAACTTGCCACTGTGTATTTGTTTTATACATTTCATAGACCTGCTACTTGGCATTACATTTGATAATACATTCTGTCTCTCTAGTTTCAATTCTCCTAATATCTGTTTCTCAGGGGAACGTTCGACATTAATGGCGAGATTCATACTTATACGGCGGCGGGGATACTTCATTCTTCAGATCTACGCACCTTGTGCCATGATAGTAGGAGCTTCGTGGGTAGCTTTCTGGATAAACCGGCACGACGCAGCAGGACGAGTAGCAGTCGGTAAGAAACTTTCAACCCACACAACTCCTCTACGTTTAATGTTTACAGTAGAGTAGTTGTGTGGGTTGATGTTTAATGTTTACAGTCAACCCACACAACTACTCTACTGTAAACACTAAACATCAACCCACACAACTACTCTACTGTAAACATTAAACGTCAACCCACACAACTACTCTACTGTAAACACTAAACATCAACCCACACAACTACTCTACTGTAAACACTAAACATCAACCCACACAACTACTCTACTGTAAACACTAAACGTCAACCCACACAACTACTCTACTGTAAACACTAAACGTCAACCCACACAACTACTCTACTGTAAACACTAAACGTCAACCCACACAACTACTCTACTGTAAACATTAAACGTCAACCCACACAACTACTCTACTGTAAACATTAAACGTCAACCCACACAACTACTCTACTGTAAACACTAAACGTCAACCCACACAACTACTCTACTGTAAACATTAAACATCAATTTCTGGTGTGGCTTGACTGTTTTAACACGTCTTCACCTCTTGAACACTTGAAATGACTTATAAATGTTCTATTAATTACTATTTTTTGGAATACAATGTTCTTCTAGTAATTGAAACCTGGAATCCACAAGACATGAGGGACGTGAGTTGAAAGATTTTAAACTTCACTAAAGCGAATACTAAGTTAAATCTCATACAGATAGCATCACAAGATTTCAACATTTGTATTTACGACTACTTAGGGTACAACTAACAGTGTTCTCCGTCACGTTTCCCAGGTGCTATGACCGTGCTAACCCTAGTTACAATGGGTTTCGGAGGCAGAGCTTCTCTTCCCAAAGTGGCCTATCCAACTGCCTTAGACTGGTTTGTTATTATGTGTTTCGCTTTTGTATTTGCTGCCATGGTGGAATATGCCTGTGTGCAGCTAATGGAACGCTTTGATGCGGAGAGGCTACGTAAATGTCTTCAACACAGAGAGAACCCTGATCACTCAGAGGAGGACAGCAAGGTAACACTTTGAAGGGTTAAAAGTGTTAAATCTTTTGATACCCAGGAGAGGTAAGAAAGGTAAGTCTTTTGATACTCAAGAGAGGTAAGAAAGGTAAGTCTTTTGATACTCAAGAGAGGTAAGAAAGGTAAGTATTTGGATACCCAGGAGAGGTAAGAAAGGTAAGTCTTATGATACTCAAGAGAGGTAACAAAGGTAAGTCAGTTTAAACATAGAGTGAGTGGGTGAAGATTATACATCTGATGTTAATTTCCAACATAGAGTGAGAGATTGAAGATTATATATTTGATGTTAATTTCTAACATAGAGTGAGAGGGTAAAGATTATACATCTGGTGTTAATTTCTAACATAGAGTGAGGGGGTAAAGGTTATACATCTGATGTTCATTTTTAACATAGAGTGAGGGGGTAAAGAGTATACATCTGGTGTTAATTTCTAACATAGAGTGAGGGGGTAAAGATTATATATCTGGTGTTAATTTCTAACATAGAGTGAGGGGGTAAAGATTATACATCTGGTGTTAATTTCTAACACAGAGTAAGGGGTAAAGATTATACATCTGGTGTTAATTTCTAACACAGAGTGATGAAGTGAATCCGGAACTATCGACAGGAGGACAGGAGGATGCAGAAGAGCTTGGACTAAACATAAAATCTGACAGAAGTTTTACAAACACGTTCCGAAACCGCTTCAGGAGGAAGAAGAAGAAGAAGAAGTATGAAGAAATATCAAACTGTGAGATATTACCATCTCGAGCTGACCAAGTTGACGCTTACTCTAGGGTGGTCTTTCCTCTCACGTTCGCCATCCTTAACCTTCTCTACTGGGTTTTATACCTGTACATTATTGATGACGAAATTCCAGAAGACCTGGCCCAGCAAGAGCTGTGACCATTTGTTTACAGAACTGATTTTTAAACTTGTAGAAACGTAAGCCGAACCGTACACAGCTTCTTTACCAATAGGAAACTTGCCTTGGTATCAGTGTTAATTATAAAACAAATTCGTTTCTGTCACTATCATATTTAAGCTCACTAAATTCTCACAAATACACATTGAAAATAAAGTTAACCTTTTTCTATTTCAGACGTGAAATGTTATTATTTTGTATTACAATGGTATATTTTTAGCACAAATTAGAAATCGTCACTTGTATCAAGTCAATCAGATGCGACTAAAAAACGAACGAAAAGCAGAAACAGAAAGGGAAATTATGTTTTCCTTGCTAAGTCAGTTTCTTTCATTAATCTAAAATAGTTAGACAAGATTTGTAAATTGTATCATCTTACATGTAACCAATAAATCAAGGAATGGGGTTCCTAAGAACAGAATCTAGCCTTAACAATATTGGAACAACCTTTACAGCACTGAATATAGCCTTAACAATATCGGAACAAGCCTTACAAAACACAATCTAGCCTTAACAATATCGGAACAAGCCTTACAGCACACAATCTAACCTTAACAATATCGGAACAAGCCTTATAAAACAGAATCTAGCCTTAACAATATTGGAACAACCTTTACAGCACTGAATCTAACCTTAACAATATCGGACCAATAAATCAAGGAATGGGGTTCCAAGAACAGAATCTAGCCTTAACAATATCGGAACAAGCCTTATAAAACAGAATCTAGCCTTAACAATATCGGAACAAGCCTTACAGCACTGAATCTAGCCTTAACAATATCGGACCAATAAATCAAGGAATGGGGTTCCCAAGAACAGAATCTAGCTTTAACAATATCGGAACAAGCCTTACAGCACACAATCTAGCCTTAACAATATTGGAACAACCTTTACAACACTGAATCTAGCCTTAACAATATCGGAACAAATTGTTCCAATATTGTTAAGGCTAGATTCAGTGCTGTAAAGGTTGTTCCAATATTGTTAAGGCTAGATTCTGTTCTATAAGGCTTGTTCCGATATTGTTAAGGCTAGATTCAGTGCTGTAAAGGTTGTTCCGATATTGTTAAGGCCAGATTCTGTTTTATAAGGCTTGTTCCGATATTGTTAAGGCTAGATTCTGTTCTGTAAGGCTTGTTCCAATATTGTTAAGGCTAGATTCTGTTCTGTAAAGCTTGTTCCGATATTGCTAAGGCTAGATTGAGTGCTGTAAGGCTTGTTCCGATATTGTTAAGGCCAGATTCTGTTCGGTAAAGGTTGTTCCGATATTGTTAAGGCTAGATTCAGTGCTGTAAAGGTTGTTCCGATATTGTTAAGGCTAGATTGAGTGCTGTAAAGGTTGTTCCAATATTGTTAAAGCTAGATTCAGTGTTGTAAAGGTTGTTCCGATATTGTTAAGGCTAGATTCTGTTCTGTAAGGCTTGTTCCGATATTGTTACGGCTAGATTCAGTGCTGTAAGGCCCTTTACAGCACTCAATCTAGCCTCAACAATATTGAAAGAACCTTTATAGCAAAAAATCTAGCTTTAAATCTAAGAGGCAGTGCTCACTGGGTGGAGAAAATGGGTATTGTAGTTTTAAAGCTAGTGATACACTTCAAGCGAGTGAGATAACTTTAGAGCACAGAATCTAGTCTTAAATCTAATGAAACACCCATCCCTCAGAACAGAATCTAGTGATACACTTCAAGCGAGTGAGATAACTTTATAGCACAGAATCTAGTCTTAAATCTAATGAAACACCCATCCCCCAGAACAGAATCTAGTGATACACTTCAAGCGAGTGAGATAACTTTAGAGCACAGAATCTAGTCTTAAATCTAATGAAACACCCATCCCCCAGAACAGAATCTAGTCTTAAATCTAATGAAACACCCATCCCCCAGAACAGAATCTAGCTCTACGAATACTGAGACAATCCTTCCAGCAGGGAATCTAACATTAAGCCTAATAAAACATCCCTTACTCTAGAGTCCAGAATAGAATCAAATATTAAGTCCAATAAGACATCTCCTCTTCTAAGGAGTCCGAAACAATATCAAAGTTCAAATTTAATGAGAGAACCCGTCATCTAGAGACGAGTATCGAACCTCTAATGCTAGGCATTAGGATTCGACCTACGTTGCAAGTTTCTTTTGTATCATTTTTAGTCTTAAGTTATGGCCTCATTGATCTAAGTATAGTGAGCTATAAGGCATGAGATTTTCATGATGTGGTTCCTTCGATCTATTTAGAAAGATTTGTGTTTTACTATTTTGTCGTATATATGTGATCGAGATTATCTACCAAAAACAAACCCACGAGGTTCATTTTTAACAACATTTACGTCCGCTACTGAAAAACAAACCCACGAGGTTCATTATTAACAATAGTTACGTCCGCTACTGAAAAACAAACCCACGAGGTTCATTATTAACAACATTTACGTCCGCTAGTGAAAACAAACCCACGAGGTTCATTATTAACAACAGTTACGTCCGCTACTGAAAAACAAACCCACGAGGTTCATTATTAACAATAGTTACGTCCGCTACTGAAAAACAAACCCACGAGGTTCATTATTAACAATAGTTACGTGCGCTAGTGGAAAACAAACCCACGAGGTTCATTATTAATAACATTTACGTCCGCTAGTGGAAAACAAACCCACGAGGTTCATTATTAACAACAGTTATGTCTGCTACTTGAAAACAAACCAATGAGGTTCGTTACTGAAAACAGTTACGTCTGCTATTGGAAAACAAACCCAAGAGGCTGATTCTTAACTATGGTTACGTCCGCTAGTGTAAAACTTGGAGAAGACGTAGGTTGTAATGGTTTACTACAAAACACAGATAATACATTGATTTCTATAATGTTTTACAAAACGCAGTCTAAAGATTCATTTTTCATAATTGTTATATGACGTCCATTACTTCTAACCCTAAACAGATAATAGCTTTTACAGTTTCTTAATAATATAGCGTCCCCTAGTGGTTAAACAGTAAGTCTGCGGGCTGACAACATTAAAAATCTGGTTTCGATACTCGCTATGAGCAGAGTATAGATAGCCCATAGTGTGGGTTTAGCTTAACAAATAGCGATAATAAAAATTATTCTATGAAGTTATCATAACTTTGAATTTTTAAATCATGTAGGTTTTAGGGTTAGGCTTTAACTATACCACAGCTGGTTTGCTTTAACATTATAAACATATTTATATATTTTTTTAGGCCTGATGACATAATTATTAGTCTCTATTATTGTAATGTTTATGGCTTTTGTGCAATCAGTCGGTAGGTTCCTGTGTTGCTCAAGATGTTCGGATGTTATATTCTAACTTTTGCACTGCTCATCCTAAAATTTCTGACTGTCTCTCTTTCACACTCTATACAGAAAATGTTATCCTTCAATCTTCGTCTTTACATGAAAATTCTGGTTTATATTGCAAACACTAGATGGCGTTATACGAATATCCAATACGAACTTCCCTTGCTTTTACAGATCGTAAATTCATTTAATATTATTTTCCTAATTACATCCTATCATATCGGCATTCTATTTATACTGCTAATCCCAAACAGCACATTTCAGTAGAGGGCGCTGTAATAACTATTAGTAAATGAAATAATATATATATATTTCAAGACAATTTATTTTCATCAAGTCCCTCCCTCAGTGACTCAGTGGTAAGTCTAAAGGCTTATAACACTAAAAACCAGGTTTCGATACTCGTGATGAACACACCACGTATATCCTTTGTGTAGCTTTGTGTTTAACTGCGAACAAACGATCTTTTGATCATAGGTAAAACTGAAAACATAATCCGTGACGTAGAGGATTAATATAATCTTTGGTTTACCATTGACTGTAGTTTACATCTTACAAGTGTCAATAGCACAAGTAGGATCAGTTAACAAAAAAAACAACAACATATTATTTATGGACTTTTTAAGTCCTGAAAAACTTCACAAATGTTATTTACGTATCACTATTAGAAAAGGCTTAACTGTATAAAGGCTTAACTGTATTTCTTGGTTTGTTGTTCTTTGCTTTCTTTTCACTCGGTGTATTTGCGTTAAGAACATTAACCAAACTCTTTTACTGTGTAATTACTTCACTTGTTGTGAATTGATTGATGAGTGAATTGATTGTCAGTCAGTTTGTGTTTGGCTCATTTTCTATTGTAACGATTATCACACAACCAAGATCGTAGTATTTAAAATTTCTTACCAGCTTCTCTGTTTGAAATTTCCATTCTGGCTTTGTTTGTAAAAAGAAATTATTGTTGAAATGTAAGGAAATGCTTTGTTTTGTTTGTTTGTTTAGAGCAAAATCATCTTGGGCTATCTGCTGTATCCACCGCAAGGAAACGAACCCCGGATTTTAGTATTATAAGTCCGCTGTCCCACAGGGGGGACATAAGGGAATGAATTTGTTGTTGTTTTAAAGTTAAGCACAAAGCTACACAATGGGCTATCTGTGCTCTGCCCACCACGGGTATCGAAACCTGGTTTCTAGCGTTGTAAGTCCGCAGACATACCGCTGTCCCACAGAATCTTCTCCTGTCTAATTTAATTTCGTTTCGTGACCTGTTATAGAAATTCCCAAAAATCAATACATTCCAAACAGGAAATATTAAAATATTTCACCGGTTTTTACCCGTTACCAGCAGAAAGTGTAATTCAACATGGTTTCATTTCGTTGACATTTTTCCTTTAAGAACTGTCCGCCTGAAAGGTTTTGATTGGGAGATTAATTTGGTTCGTGATCAATATTCAATATATTTTAATGAAACTCGAGAGACAAAGCACGTGTTTCAGTCACTAACGGCATTTGCTCAACGAGAGGTGGACGTCAGAATGGCAAATATCTATACTCTGGTGAGAATCTCAGCGATAAGTCTGAAGCTTATAACGCTAAAAAACAGGTGTCAATAGACGTGATAGACAAAGTACAGACAGCTCACTATATATATATATATATGTGCTCAACTACAGACAAACACACAAATACTGTGGTGGTATATGTTCAGTACATGACTCTTTCCAGTGTAAGTTCTCGAAACTTACATTATAAGAAACTATGGTGCTTCCCAGTGTAAGTTCTCGAAACTTACACTATATGAAACTATCCTTAAATAGTGGAGACCACTAAGTTGCAATTTCTGTATTACCACGAAGAAGGCTGTTT